TTTTTACCCGCAGTGGGAACAATAGCCAGAGGTGTATTTGGCGTTGGAAGGAAGATTTTGAGTACATTAGGTATACTTAAAGAGAAAGCACAACCTATTATACAAACTGTACAGAAAGGTTGGGATGTAGCACGAGATGCAACAAATCTTATTCCAAATCCTGAAACAAGAGGAAAAGTTCAAGGATGGATGGACAATGTAGGAAGACAAGCAGGAAACTATTATAACAAAGCAAATGACTACTATAACCAAGCAGGACACTATATGGACCAAGGTGAAAGATTCTTTAACAGAGGATATAACCATGCACAACAGTGGGTAAACAATAACCAACCTCAACCGCCTCAAACGTGGGGAATGTAAATTTTTTACTGAGATGAAATGAACAATACAGCATTGAGACAAATGAGTTCAAGATGGATTTGTCGGCTTCCAGCAGTTACACCACGTGTTTGTCAAGTTCTTCCTATACCTCAGGAAGTTTTAGACCGACTTAAAAAACCTCAACAACCAGTTGAAAACAAACCAAACTAAAATTTTTTACTGAGATGAAATGACAGAAGAAGTTGAAACGGTAGATTTGACACCACAAACAAAAAGTTCAGAACCATTGTCAAAACCTGTCAAAGAACTTACAGATGAAGAGAAAAATTCAATAATAGAAAGTGCCAGGTCTGGAAATACAACCCCCAACTACAAAGTCACTTTTCATAGAAATGGAACGGCTAGTATCTCAAAAAAGAAACAGACTCTCACAAATAAAATATTGAAGTCTGAAGGAGCTTTCGAGACAACAGATGGAAAAGTTTACTTCACTGACCAACAGTTCATTATAGAACATCTCATTGACTTAGAGTCGAAATATTCTAAACTTTACAACAAACACAAAAAGTTGAAAGGAAAACAAAAACAAATGGCATATGATATTTATGAAGATGTTGACGGCACAACTGTTCCTGCAAGTGAAGTAAAGTCAGAGGAACCGAAAAGTGACGAAAAACCAATAGAAGAAGAAAAACCAAAAACTGAAGATAAACCAAAACCAAAGTTTAGTTTGGAAACTAAACCAAGTCAACCTTCATTAGCTGGTATGGGCTGGCGTCAAAGACTTATGGCAGCAGGCGGTTATGTAAAGTAAAGGAAAAAAATATTTTTTTATTTTTATAAAAATGCCCCCATATAGAATGGATAGAAAATCTGCTAGAATAAAAGCAGAGTTACAAGGATATGGTTGGAGAGTTTCGAAGAATTTTAAATATAGGAAGGGAAGACCCATAAAAGTCTATGACAAGTTGTCTGGTCTTCGCTACGAAATGGATTTGGAAACAGCACGTGCCAATTATCCAAACAGACTAGAGAGGTTAGAAGAAGAACGTCTTATGGACATGCCTTTCGATGTTAGTGAACCTCAAGTTGAAGGACACGACGGCTTTGCCAGATTCTACTGGAAACATGACGAACAATTGCATCCTTTGAGAAGGAAAAAAGGAAAAGGTGAAGACGCACATGCTCCCATGGAAAGAACAAGATATTCATATGAAAAGTATCGTGAAGTTAGAAGTCAAATTACATCTGGTCGAACCTTTACAGTAAACTTTGACGAAGGAAAGAACAAAGAAGGCTTCATGGGTGTACTTGCTGCAATTCAAGACGGAAATAAGAAAGGACACAATCTCAGATTGACCATAACAGATTTGGATGGTCACATTTACTATGCACATGGCAATGAACAAACAGCCGCAAAACTTCTTGACGCTTTCAAGACTACAAAGAGAGAACAAATGGTTGACTCCGACTCAGACATTTTGAATGCAATTGAAGGAATTGCAAGTGTCAAGTTCGAATGGTACCAACCTAACCCTCAAGCAGTCAGACAACATGCTGGATACTTCCCGTTCATAAATAAGTCTGACATTGACTTGACAAGGTATGGAATTTACAATTCAATTGAAACAATTGTCAACGAACCTTGCATTCTTACATGTCTCAGGAACTCTGTTCTTGTTCCAGATGAGAAGATGAAGTATCTTGAGTCATGTGTGAAGACAAGGTACATTCTCAGAGGTCAATTGGCAAAAATTGCACCGTTGGCAAATGTCAATATCCGAGTCAACATACCTACAGCTAAAGGTTCTTCACATGACGACTATGTTGTTGACAAAGACTTACCATGGTTGAAGATTGTAATTGTCCACAACCACTTCATGTTGAACGAAAGTCTTACAAACCCATTGTTCGGAAAAGGCAAGTGCAACATTGTCAGAGCTGTTAACATTCTTTTCGAGAAAGGTTTGTTGGAACCAATTCCAGATGACAAGCTGACAGAAACTTTTGTACCAAAAGACGAAACAAACTTTTCATTGTTAGCAAGACCAAAAGTTGTTCCAGACAAAGTTCTAGTACAAAAGAAGTACACAGTTCCACAAGGAGTTGGATTGTTCGGATACCAACCTGAACCAGAAGAACTTCCAATGAGGTTGCAAGAACTTCAAGATGCTATAAACAAACTTCCATTGAGACATCCAATTGACGTCAAATTGTATTGGAGAGCATCTGAGTTAGGTCAGAAGGTTTTATATGAAACAGGTTGCTTCGACAATGTTTATGAGATAACAGGAGAAGTTTCTCAGAAGATAAGAGACTCACTTGAATTTCCACAAACTGGACCAATTGGTTGCGACAAGTTCGACTCAGATGAAAAGATATACTATGTCGACCTTAACGCTGCATACATGAGGTTTGTCCAATATATTCCGACTGGAATTCCAAACGAAGATGGTGAGTTCCCGGGAAGGAACTATACAGTTGGAAAAGTCATACAACAACTGTATGATATTAGGAAAGCTTCAAACCCCAAACTTGCAATGACACTCAAATTGCTTATGAATTCGACATGGGATATTCCATTAAGAAACCTCAAGAGATGAAGAGTAAACATTATGAGAAGGTCGACAACTTTGTTGAAAGGTTTTCTCCTTTTGTTTTGAAGTACGAATTCACTCAAGGTCAAAGTGGCTTAGTAACCACATTAAAACCTATTGTCGAACATTGGTCTTACCCTCAGTTCGCAAAAGCAGTCCTTGACAACTACAACAAATTCTTCTCCGAAGTCAAATCCAAAGTGAAGGTTTACTATGAGAACATTGACGCACTCATGACGAACGAAGAAGGATACAACAAACTCATTGAAATGGGAATGGTCGGTGAAAAGATGGGCTGTTTTAAGCTAGATAAGGTATTTTCCGAAGTTCATGTAATATCGAAAAGGAAATATTGGGGTATACTTGAAGACGGCACAGAAATAAAACATTGCATGAAGTAAAAACGTTTTTTAAAACAATATATTTTTACATATATTAAATGCTTCAGGTTGAAAAACAAAGAACAAAAGTAGCAGATACAAAACCGTTAGACTATATCTTTACAAATGCTGGTAGGACTATTTCAGATGAAGAAATTTCATCCCGAGCATACAGGTTTGACTATCCAATTCGTTGGCTTCAAAGTCCTTCAGATGCAAAGGCAATAGGATTTAGAAGAGTTTTGTTTTCAAATAGAACTAACGCATTTATGTTCGCAGTATATTTTCATGGGCAGTATAAAGGTTCTGATGGTCTAATAGACAAATTTGACGAAATGAGAATCTTTACAGTTCGTTCAGACGAAAGTCTTGAAAAAACTCTAAATGACTTTCAAACTCAAATGAACAAATATTATTGGGAATTTCAAGAAAAATACGACTCTTTACTAAATGGAACATACTATCTGAAACTAGAATATGACAAGATGAACTCCACCGTTTCATTTCAAAAGATTGAAATTAACCCTCCAAGAGATACAGAGTTTTTATTTTGGAAAGTAGACAAACGTTCTTGGGCACAATTTCTTCGGTTACTAAACCAGAACGAACCATTACCACCAGATGGTCCATTTAAATTTATACTTCCACCAGCAGATTTGAAGGTTTATAGAAACGTGTTTGACCCTCAAAATGTTATGTGTCATGCAAGTTTCAGTTCAAGCAACAATAGTTTTCTATGTATTGGTAAGGACTTTTATGACTTTGCTTCTAAATTCTACGAACCACCTAGTAACAGTTTCTCTGACTTTCAAGTTTGGTTCACAACAAATGGTGTGCAACATATTATTCCATTGTACTATGACTTTTATCTCGAATTGTCTTTCATATATAACTACGGAAAAGTGCTGAAAAAGTATTGAAAAATAATGTTTAGGTGAAGAGGTGAGATCTCACCTGTTTTTTCACCTCTTTTCTCACCCTCATGAATTTTCATGAAAACAATTTATTTTTGACACTTTCACAAAAAACATAAAAAAGTGAGTTAAAATGAGATGTTTACTGAACTGGCTGAATGTCGCCTTCTGTAGTTATGTAGAATGGTTGACCAGAGAAGTGAAGGAGAGACTGAATTGCCAATTTCATATGGGGTAGGGGGTTCTCCTTGTTTGGTATTTTTATCCAAGGACGTTTGTTTAGGAACTTAACAAGAGCTTCTCTTTTGGCGTCCTTTATGTCGTCTACAGGAGTGTTTTCTGGTATTTGAATTGGAATTCCGGTCGAAGTCTCGAGATTCAAGGCAGCCCTTCCAGAAATACTGGTGAACTTGACCTTGGGCTTCATGACCTTGCGCAAGTAGTCTTTTACGCAGTCGTTAAGTTCTATAAGGTAAATTGCCTCGTCAAATCCTTCTGGCATTCCGAGTCCTTCCATCCGACAGGAAAATATTTTCCCGACAACTGGAAAAAATTTTCCTTCCGACAGGAAAAAATTTTCCCGACAACAGGAAAAAATTTTCCAGTTGTCCGTCCGTAAACCATTCAAATTTTCGAAAATTGAGAACTTTTTGGTCGAACTTGAGAAAAAATTTTCCATCCGACAGGAAAAAATTTTCCGGACAAAGGGAAAAAAATTTCCTTCCGACAGGAAAAGTTCTTCCTTCCGACAGGAAAAGTTCTTCCTTCCGACAGGACACAAACGAATGTCCGACGTCCCACCAACCGAGTCCATTCCCAAACCAGAGGAACCTAAAGAACCACAACAGTCTCCTCAGCAACCTCAGTTCCAGCAAGTACCTCCGAATTACTACCAATTTCCACCTCAAGGTTACTACCCACCACAAGGCTTCCCGAACTACCCTCCTCCTCAGACTATGCCTTACTGCCCCAACCCTTGGATGTTCCAGCAAGCTCCACCCCAGCAATTCCAATCTCAGTCCAAGAGAGACCAAGACTTCGAAGAAGGTCTGAACCGCTTACGCAAAGAAAGTCGTTCTCGGACCAAAAAATATAATTTAGGTGAAGAGGTGAGATCTCACCTCTTTTCTCACCTCTTTTCTCACCCTCTTGAATTTTGTATAAAAAGCAACCGCCGGAATTCAGACGGTTGCTATATTCTTCACAAAATGCTTGTTTTGAGGTCGAGCCACTTTTGGCTCCACCGTATTCTTTCAACCAAAACTCATGAATTCAGCAAAAAATATAATTTAGGTGAAGAGGTGAGATCTCACCCGTTTTCTCACCTCTTTTCTCACCCTCTTGAATTTTCATGAATTTCCTTAAGATAGAAAAAATAAAGTTAGTTTTTTTAAAAAAATATTTTTTATTTTTATTGTAAGAACATGTTAGCAACAACTTCACCAAACTCTTTAGTTATGAATCCAACATCTATGTTAGTTGAGATGAAAAGCTTCATTCCTTCTTCATATACTTTCGAAACAACAATCCAGAAGACAAAGCAAGAACTTTTAACAAGTACTTTGGACTGTTGTGCGAAAGATGAACAAAATGAACAATATCTTTATGAAATGCAGGACATTATTGACCATTTGCCTAAACTACCTGAAATCCAACAACAAAAGCTCACTATTCCTGAATTCGATGAAATAGAAGTAAAAACAACCGACTCAGTAGAAATAAAGAAGTTCATACGTAAAGTAAATTATGAGTTTCTAGGATTTCATTGCAACCATAAAGTTATGGACAAAGATTGCGACATGGTATATAAGAACATCTCTGACATATATAAATCGGAGGAGTTTAAGACATACGACAACTTTGTTTCGTTAGTTGCTGAATGTGTATGGCAGATAAGAGATAAAGATAAAAGAAGTAAAGTATGGAACGGACAAATAAAACCAGCAGCTTTTGAGTTAAAGAAAACCATTGACGCCTTAGTTGTTCTAGCAGGTCAAATTTCAATGTATAACGCAAAAATGAACCCACAATGTTCAAAATGTAAAGCAGCAATAAGGAAATATAACTACTCCGTCAAAGAGATAGAACGTATGAGAAACGACTATGCTGACTTAAAGAAAGAAGTAGAGAAACCAGCAGAAGATAAAATGGACATGTTAGCATTTCTGAACAAAAACTATCCAACAGCTGACGATTTCCTATTATCTGACGTCAAGAAGAAGTATAAAGAAACTTTCGGCATTGTTAAAACTTTTGACATACTGACAGAAGAAATAGAAGCTACAAAACTGTTTAGGATTTCAAATATACATCGTACAATTCATGTAAAACGCTTATAAAATAACTGGGGTGAGAAAAGAGGTGAGAAAAGAGGTGAGATCTCACCTCTTCACCTAAAATATATTTTTATTGAATTCAGCAACAAAATTCTGAGTAAAATGGCATATAGCTTGTGTTAAACCGTTGAGTTTTCACAAAATTTAAAAAATAACGTTTACCATGTAAAACGCTTATAAAATAACTGGGGTGAGAAAAGAGGTGAGAAATTAGGTGAGATCTCACCTCTTCACCTAAAATTATTTTTGCTGAATTCAGCAACAAAATTCATGAATTTCCTCATATGTTTGCTACCCTCGAAAAACCGAGGGTAGAGATTCCGTATGAAAATCGTGAAGAACAGCGACTACGAGAAAATCCGTAGTCGCAAAAACTCTATGAAAACAGTGAAGAACAGCGAGACCGACTTTTTTCGGGGTCGCTTAAAACTCTATGAAGTTGTCAAGAACATACTGCCATGCTGCTCTTCTGAGTTCGTCGGTATTTTGGAAGTGTTGCACCTTCGAGTCTTCTGACATGAAAAAAATGACCAAATTTCATTATATAACTGTTATTTTTGACGAAGTGAAGATTTGCACTTCGTTTAAAATACACTATTTTTGTGTTATGAGTGACGAAGTGAAGATTTGCACTTCGTTTAAAATACACTATTTTTGTGTTATGAGTGACGAAGTGAAGATTTGCACTTCGTTTAAAATACACTATTTTTGTGTTATTTTTGACGAAGTGAAGATTTGCACTTCGTTTAAAATACACTATTTTTGTGTTATTTTTGACGAAGTGAAGATTTGCACTTCGTTTAAAATACACTATTTTTGTGTTATTTTTGACGAAGTGAAGATTTGCACTTCGTCAAAAAAATCCCTGAAATCATATCTTTTATACAAAATAGAAAAAATAAAGTTAGTTTTATTTTTATTTATTTTTTTATTTTGTATGTAAGAACAGAAATGACAAACATTGAGTTTGAAACAGTTAGAAAGATAGACAATGACACCAAAGTGGTTAGAATAGGGGATTTAAACGTAAGATACTCAAAGAAATACAACAAATATTCTTTGTCAGACATTATATCTCCATCTGGAAAGAAAGCAAAGGACTGGGTTGGAATTGCTTCAACTCAGAAAATTTTGACAAGAAATCCTGAGCTTATGATATCGGTAAGATTTCATGGAACAAGAGCATATCTTATAGACAAAAGTCTTATACCAATAGTTTTGTTATGGTTAGACCCAGTTGTTGGATATAACTTCATAACATATGGTTCATTCGATACGGAACGTTGCAGTGAAGGCTTACTTTACATCGTTCAGAAACCGAAGGACTTCAATACAAAGAGATATAAGATAGGAAGAACATATAATATAACTCAAAGATATGACAGTACAGTCAATAGAGTCAAGGTTGTGTTCGTTAACGATATGAGAGCTGCAGAAACAGAACTACTTGAAAAGTTTGAGAAAATGTATGGTGCTCCCATGAAAGGTAAAGAAACGTTTGAAGTAGATGAGATAGATAGTGCTATAAAATTATTTGACGAAGTTGCTGAAAAATACATGTAAAGCGTTTATTTTTGGTCTTTTGTGAAAGTCAGAAAATAACGCTAATTTTATTTTATTTATTTTTTTTATCCGGAATATAAAGACAGATATGTCAACAACAGAGAACACAACAACAGTTATAGTCCATGAAGCTATAAATGAAGAATACGAGTACATACAGTATAACAAACAGTTACGTCTCATTCGTTCGGTCAAAGACGACATGTACCAAATGCAAAGTATTTTGACAGCATGTTTTGCTTCAGATACTAAACACGCAGACGACTGGTTCAGAAACCAAAGCACACAAGAACTTTTGAGTGAAATTTCTCTAGACCGAGAATTCTCGGCCTTGCATAAAACACATGAAAATCGTAAAAATTTGCCAATAAATTTAAGAGGATATTATGTTCATAGACTATTAGTAAATGCAGTTGCAATGTGGGCTTCACCTCGTTATGCTTGGTATATTTACAGACTTCTTGACGAAATTCATAGACAAGAACGTGAAGAGATGGAAAAGAAACTTCAAGCAAAAGATGAAGTCATTGAAGCAAAAGACAAAAGCATTCAGAAAAGAATACCACGCTCGGTACCAAAAGGTAAGGAAAAGAACTATAAGTATATGATTTATACTGAAGAGATGGAAAATGAAGAAGATAAAGATATGGTTATGTTGCATTTAGTCAGAAGAAACAACAAAAGCTTTTACGACCTTGCTAAGATTTACAAATCTGACAGAAATTGGTTCTATCGCGAAAACTTACCGATTTCAATGACCCCAAATGAAGATGTGAAACAAATAGTTCAAGATACTTTACCTCAAACACACTATGATATTAAAGGTTGTACAATTCTTACCTTCAAAGAAGATTTGCCATTGTTAAAGGAAAAAATAACAGAGTATTTTGACAACTTCAAACAAGCAGAGTAAATGAACTCTTTATTTTTATTGACTTTTTACAATTTGAACTTTGTTCGCGTAGATATGAATTCTGAAAGAAGTATGAGGGTCTTGTATGACTTTATACTTCTCCCATAGTTCATGTCTGTCAAACTTACCTGCCATGGACTCTTTCATAAGTTCCATGAAATCGTCTTCGGACAATCCGGGGAAAAGTATAATGTCAGTAAGTATTCTTTTAACATCCTTACTTAAACTCTTGGCTGTCTGTACACATATTACGACTGAAATGTTAAAGTGTCTGAGCTTCTTAAGAATTCGACACATGTCTTGTTCTCTATTCTTTAACAAAGGATGAGAGGCGAAATCATCTAAGATAAGAAGACATCTGTGAGGGTAAGTCTTCCAATCGTAAGATTGCAATTTCTTCGAAATGTATTCTATCTCTTTCTGTTTGTTTCTGAAGTGTTTCTGTTGTAAACAGAAATTCATCAAAAGTGACACCTCAGAAAAGCTAAAATATTGAATTTTTGGAACTTTTGATAGAGCACGTTTTTAAATATTAATTAAAGTAAATGTATATTTTGTAAAGATTCTTTTTAATAAAAAAATAAAATTTTGAAGAAGAACACAAAATCTTCTGAAAAATAATATCACATAAACTCATATTATTTTCTAATATATAACTATTTTATATAAAAATCAAATTCAATGATCTTAAAAGCGAAGGATAAACCTCAAAATTTACGAATATAATGAGTGGGAATATTGTTGTAAACAGAAATTCATCAAAAGTGACACCTCAGAAAAGCTAAAATATTGAATTTTTGGAACTTTTGATAGAGCACGTTTTTAAATATTAATTAAAGTAAATGTATATTTTGTAAAGATTCTTTTTAATAAAAAAAATAAAATTTTGAAGAAGAACACAAAATCTTCTGAAAAATAATATCACATAAACTCATATTATTTTCTAATATATAACTATTTTATATAAAAATCAAATTCAATGATCTTAAAAGCGAAGGATAAACCTCAAAATTTACGAATATAATGAGTGGGAATATAATGCTTATCTATCATAAAACCATATGAAATATTAATTTTTGCTTTACGCCTAATTTTTGACGACAATTAGCAAAAAATGTTAAATGTTAACACTCAGTCCATTTGAATATGAAAAATAAAATTGACTTTGATTAAATGTTTTTATTTATCATGCAATTCTTCTTGCGACAAAGATTTGAATAAAAGTTCAAAAAATAAGATAGCTTAAAAAATAATATACGGTAGTGTTTACTAATAGATGAATAGTATATAAATTCTATTAAAATGGATTTGATCCAAAAAAATATATAAAATTTGATCATAAATAAAATCGTTTTAAATTACTTCTTCATTTAAATTATAACAATTATTTTTGATTTTTATTTTTTTGAACTTTTATTCAAATCTTTGGTCGCAAGAAGAATTGCATGATAAATAAAAACATTTAATCAAAGTCAATTTTATTTTTCATATTCAAATGGACTGAGTGTTAACATTTAACATTTTTTGCTAATTGTCGTCAAAAATTAGGCGTAAAGCAAAAATTGATATTTCATATGGTTTTATGATAGATAAGCATTATATTCCCACTCATTATATTCGTAAATTTTGAGGTTTATCCTTCGCTTTTAAGATCATTGAATTTGATTTTTATATAAAATAGTTATATATTAGAAAATAATATGAGTTTATGTGATATTATTTTTCAGAAGATTTCATTCTATATGCCTATGAAAAGTAGTCTCAAAACTAACTTTTTCCTAATTATAATTAAATCTAGAATATTGTATTATGCTTAGTATTATTTCATTTTTCTCATTCAATTTAGAATTTACAAATGTCAAAAAATTGAGAGCTGTCACTTTTGATGAATTTCTGTTTATTACAATATAAAAAAAAAAAAAAAAGGCATTGGGGCTTCCAGGCACTTCGTGCCCTCTAGCCCCGAAGATGTTTTGTCACTTTTCTGTCACTTTTCAGGTAAAAACATTTTTATTATATATATAAAATGAATTTTACAAAACCACCGTTACCCTTCTTTGGAAATAAGAGTAGATGTAAAGATATTATATTGAGAGAACTTAAGAAACTACCGAATGGTCTAACATTTGTAGATTTGTTCGGTGGAAGTTTCTATATATCCCATTTGTGCCATACAATATTCCCAGACTCAAAGATTATATGCAATGACTTCGACAACTATATGAACCGTCTCAAACATATACCAGACACAAACAAAAATATTGAAAGAGTTAAAAGAAAAGATACCTATAGGTAAGATGGAACGTATACCATTCGATAAGAAAAATACTGTCAGAGAGGTTTTGAAAAAAGCAGAATATATTGACTGGGATAGTATATCTTCTAGACTATTATATAGTGGTGCTATAAGAGTTCATGACATTGAAACACTTATGTCAAAAGTTTTATATCTTAACTATACAAATGTTTTCAAAGAGAACATAGAAAAATATACTGAGGGTATAGAGTTTGTGAGATGTCATTGGAC